CAGACTACTGGGAGTCCAAGGGATAGTTAGTACTCATCTCCAACACCACCATTCATAGGCATAGGTTCTTCTTCAATTATCCTTACTCACTGTCTAACTCTCAGATTAAGAAGATGCAATCAGTCAGGGAGCTCTCAAAGGACTGACAAGCTACAATAATGGTTAAAAGACAAAGTTGCGCCGGATCCAAGCCCTGCAGTCTTTCCAATTTAATACTACCAAAAGCAATCTGCAAATATAATGCAATCCCTCTCCCGATACTGTTATCCTTTCTTTTTTAAAAAAAAAAAAGATGGGAAAAGTAATCACTAATTTCATATGGAAAGGGAAGAGACCTCTGACAAGCAGAGTGACTCTTAAGAAGAAAACAAAAGTAAGAGGCTTCATGCTTCCTGAAACTCAAATCTACTACACAGTAATTAAAATAGCTTGATACTGGTAAAGCAATAGCTACCTAGGCCAATGGAATAGAATTAAGAACCCAGAAATAAACCCATCTACTGATGGACAATTGATTTTTGACAAAGATATCAATCAAGTGGGAAAAAGAAAGCCCATTTATTAAATAGGATTGGCAAAACTGGCTTTCTATTTGCAGAAAATTGAAACAAGAACTATAAATCATACCACATTAAAAAGCACATTCAAAATGAGTCAAGGACCTCAGAATAAAATCTAAAACTACACAAGTCATAAAAGAAAAAACATGTGGCAAACTTAGAAGCCCTAATCTGTGACAAAAACCACTCACTCATTGCCATCGAGTTAGGGCTGACTTACAGCTGACTCTCCTGTCGATTTTCAGAGGCTGTAAATAATACAAGAGGAGACTGCCTATCCTACTGCAGAGCAGCTGGTGGATTAGAACTGGAATGTTGCTGGCCTTGCAGTGCAACTCCTTATTAACTAGGCCATTAGAACTCCCTTGGCATAAACAGAATATCAAATATAACAGAAAATGCAATAATAACTGAACACGAAATAATCAATAAGCTAGGTGATTAAGACATTCTAAAAATTAAATTCTTAGGTACATCAAAAAATTCTCATAAAGA